ATAGCCCGTCTACATGCCCCAAGGGAGGCTTTATATATAGACGTTAAATACAACTCACTCACTCACTCACTCGCATCGCAGTACCACAGAACGCAATCCTTAACGACCCGGCACGGGTCCCCGGCGGGGATCCAGCAACTTTCGATCCCTATCGTTATGTAAAGTTGCGCAAGGACCTTAAAAATACCCAGCGGTATACTTTTGCGATGAGTGACGCCGAGCACATGGCGTTTGGTTATGGGAAATATGCTTGTCCAGGAAGAGCCTTTGTCGCCAATGAGATCAAACTAGTGCTCTCGCAACTCCTGCTGTTGTATGACTGGAAGTTCCCATCAGGACAATATTCACCACGCCCGAAGAATTTCACTGTAGACGGAGACATGTATCCTGACATGCAAGCCAGGGTGCTTCTGCGTCGCAGAAAGGGTGTTGATGCGTGAGGCGGAAAATCAGGATTTTGGCGTGGCAGACATGGGACATTGCGACAGGTGCTTTAGTGCGAGGGCACGAGCCTAATGAAACTTTGAGCAAGGTATGAGAACAGGTAGAAACTCAGGAGAAACACGTAGTGTCCTATTGAATTCAGCGTTTCGAAGTGGAGTTCACGCGACAGACCAAAGGAGCCATTGATCACCTGTATCGCTGCTACTTCTTTTCTGTTAGTCAGAATGAGCGACACTTTTCACAAAGACAGTTGACCAAAAGCTTCTCATCCAGAAAACACCTTAATAGTATGTCAATATTAGCCATTACGACTGCGACTATGGCGTTGTAGTTCATTTTTGGCCGCAAATTATCTATCAATGGATGCAAACCGGCGAGAAGGAAATTAAACCCGATTGCTTTCCTTTTGCTGTCAAAGATGCTGGTCCAGCCTTTTCTATTCATGGAGAATACCGTCGCTCAATTTCCTTTTCTTCCCACTCCACTGTCGTCTAATCGCAACAGAGTCGGCGACGGAGGGTAATTGTTGTCTAATAGGGATGCTGTTATCACCCCTCAGATTAATCTTGTGAAGGACATGTAGTTATCGCAGGTATTTCCGGGTGTAAGCAATAGGATCCCGACCGTCATGTCGGATGCTGAGAGCTTCGGCGGTTCTATGTAGCATTAGCCTTCCAAGCCACTAGCGCTGCAATCCACGGACTGTTGACAAGTTCCAAATCTGGTATACCAAGATGTTTCAGAGGCCTTTTGCCGTTCCGCGACATTGTCCAAATGGCATTCGCCGGAGTTGGCCGTACATTAGTAGGGGAATCCATGGCTGCAGGCCGTTTGAGCCAAAGGGTCTGTTTGCGCTAAGCGACTTCGGGAGTAGCGTCCATGAGGCTGATTGTTAGCGACCCACGTGGCGATTACCATTTGACACAAAATCCCATCTCACTACAGCCACGCATCGTGAGGAGAGCCAACAGTTCACTGCGCACATGTCTCGAAAGCTATCGGGATCTCTGGACCAGGGGAAAATGCCACAACAAGTATCCCATCGTAATCCCCATCACCACAATGCATCGTGATCCACACACACGCCCACGGTGCAATATGACAGGCGGTGAAAACTTCTCGTAGTAGCGGCATTTGTCCGAGCGTGAGGCTAAACCCAGTATTATCGTGTTATTCTCCTTATCGTTTGCCTTCAGTTTCACGATAGGCCCTTTTTTTTCCCCGCGTCGTCTCCGGTTCTTTCCCCTCTCCACATTCTTTCCTTTTTGTTTCCCGTCTGCGCGCACGTTACCCTCTTCGTCCTTCGTTCTTTAGCGAGAGCCGTCAAATGAGTGGCAGTCTCACGGGCAGTTGTCTGCCGCCTTCAAGCAGTTTGCCATCCGCTCGTTTGCTAGTTTCCCTGCCAGAAACCCAGATCACCTCGGCGCTGAAGCATTTGCGGGCCCTGTATTGTCCCGTACGCTTACCGACCGTCATTTCCACACCAGTATCCAAGCGAGATCAGCAATCCATCACGTCGCCACCAGCCCCTGTTGATTCCGGCTATGCCTCTCAGGATGAGGACGAAGACGACCAAGAGACGAGTCTGGAAGAGGTGACCGCTGCTCTACGTGCCGACCCATTCGAACGCACTTTCACCGCGCAATGGCTGAACTCGCTTCTCGCGCGTTCGGAGGAAATGAGCATGGATGTAGAGGCTCGTGAGAGGATCGTTGACGATGCTGCCTTTATTCTTTCGAGTTTATTCGAATCCAGCAACTGTGACGAAGACGAGGCGCTAACCCGCGACTTCAGCTTTTCCATGCCCTTTGGAAAAGCAATCCAAGTTACACTCAACGATGCGCCGCTCTCAAGTACGGACCACACCGCAGTTGGCCTGCAATCCTGGGGTGCCAGCATCGTCCTTAGTAGCATGATGTGCGCCGACCCCAAGCGATTCGGGCTGGATCCAACAGACCTCGCGCCCATGCCCAAGATTACCGAGTTGGGCACAGGAACTGGTCTCGTCAGTCTAGTGCTAGCAAAGCTCCTTCCCACCATCAACATTCACAATGGCGACATTGCAGCGACTGATTACCATCCCGCCGTCCTGGACAATTGCAAGCTCAACATCGAAACCAACTTTCCCTCGAGCTGCACCAATGCATCGCCGCCTGTGTCGACTGCAATTCTGGATTGGGCACAGCCGCCTCAAGCCCTGAAAGCAACGGCCAATCTCCTCATCGCGTCTGACGTCGTCTATGCACCCGAGCATGCTGCTTGGCTACGCGATTGCGCCGCGCATATGCTGACTCTGGGTGGCACGTTTTGGCTAATGGTCACGGTGCGCAAGACTGGCAAGTTCGAAGGTATTCCCGACACTGTCGAGTCCGCTTTTGTTCCTGAAAAGTGTTCCAAGAACGCAAACGGTATGGTTTTTCGCATACTGGAAAAGGAGTTTGTCGAGAAGAGGAGGGGTGTGGGCAGAGGTGATGAGAGTGGATACAACCTGTATCGGATAGGATGGGCATAGATTACGATGAACATAGATGGGTTATGTGAGTGGCGTTCTAGATCATCCTGTTTTGCGTGCGTAGATCGACGATGCCATGATTTTTAGAAATGAGCGAGCATTATCAATATTTTGTCATTTAGCGACTAGATTAGTGCTCAAGGAGTTAGATCATAGAGAAATTAGAGAGAGGTAACTTATGTTGTTTATCCATGAATTTTGATAGAATTTGAACAAAACATTACATTTGTAGTATTCATGATTTATCAGGACTTGAAAAGCCACCAACTACTCTTCAGGCGGGTAGACTACAATACGGTCAATGTCCGCACCTTTGATATCCTTGCCGTTGTATAGGCCGCCAATAGTAATGGTGTTGTGGTCTCCCTTCTCCAAGTCAAGCATGAGCGGCGTGCTCAGAATAATCCCCTTGTGACTATCTCTTTGGTACAATGTTTGGAGCTCTTCAGTCTTGTTGTTGACAATGACGCTGGAGATGCGACGGAGCTGCCAAGTTCCATTGATACGATCAGGAGTGCCACCAGGTTGGTCGCCAAAGCCCATGTCGTCAGTGTTTTGATAATAGAATGATACCCACTGAGGTTTACCGCTGCCTTCAATGTTGTGGAAGATGACTTTGCTGTCGTTGCCATAGATGCCAGTCACAATAACTTTGTCGCTTGCGAATTTGGCTTCCTGGTGCCATGCGTTTCCAGTCGTGGTTGCATCCTTGTTATAGTAGGTAGTACCTTCGATAGGTGTAACTTCACCAGTTTTTACATCGAGGTCGTAGACATCATGCCACACAAGTTCAAGGGACTTTTCTTCCTCGTTGATTTCAAGTGGAAGCCAGATGTACCTGTTCGTTATCAGCACTCTACCATTCTCTATTCACAGCTTCCAAGTTTCTTACCTTGATTCCCACAGCGAGATGGAATCCCATTGGTCTCCCATGTAGATGTAGGTTGTCTTCTTGGTACCGTTGATACGGAGATTGAAGCCTGATTGGGAGTTGTACGTGCGCGTATTCAATGGCGCGATTATGAAGGGCTGCGACCAGGGACCAGAAAGAGAGTCTGCGCGGAATGCGACCACATCTTGGTAGAGTTAGTGTTTCTTGCACATTTCAACAACGACTTGCATCTTACTATTTGGTCGATACCCCGTTTTATGTGACATGAGGGCAAAGTAGCTCTGATCTGTTTGCACGATATTGGGAGCCTCCAGATCGTATTTATCGAAACGGTGGATAACCTTGTCGAGAGCAGTTATATTCTCATTGTAGGATGTGAGATACACGTCGCGTCCTTCGCGACGGTCGCCGTTGGAGTAAAGGGCGTATGCACGTCCATCTTTTTGGTCTACAAACATGCCAAAATCTTGCGACCAATTTCCAAGAGGTGCCGTAGCATCGACGAAAGTATAGGGTCCGGTGATGTTGTCGGAAACGGCAAAACCTTGGAGCAACTCGCCGTACGTCGAATTGTCGGCATGCCACCACATCTACAAAGTATTAGTTGAACTGCCGAGAGAACATGTGCCAATGCCGTACATGATACTTGCTGGTAGCCTTGCTATATACAACTTTTGGTCTCTGAATAATGTCCTTCTTCGAAATGTAGGGATGGTCTTCGATTGGGGTCAATGCCAAACCGTGGGGTTCCCATGTTGCAAGATCGTCGGAGCTGTAGACGCTCACACCACCACCTTCTTCTTGACCTTGAACTTTGTATTCACCGAACAAAAAGAATTTGCCGGTCTCAGGATCCACGGTCACACCGCCTGCATGCGCATTGACAAGTGAGCCATCTGTTGCTCTCCATCGCGCTCCTGGAACAATCCATTTGGCAGACGTAGTTGCAGAAACGAACACAAGACGGCAAAATAGCTTGCTGAACCCCATTTTGAAGTTATGGTGGGAAGACTTGGATAGGGACGGTGCTGAGGACAACGGTTTTGCTTGGACTTCATATAATAGCCGGCCAAAGTCCACAACTATTTCCCAGCCAAGCAATTGCGGGGGTAAATAGCCCGAGTCCACAACGACGTGAACCCTGGAAGATGTTGTGTGGGGCTCCGCACTTCTTCCGGCAAGGGATCATCGCATTTCTCCAGGCTTTAGCATTGCGCTATTACCACATTTCGGTATGGCTGACTGTGGTGTCGGAAAAACCAAGACGACAAGCCCTTTGCCCAGTGAGGGGACGCGAGAATAGCCAGGCGAGCCGCAGATAGTACCATTTCAAGCAATCGTTCCGTATGTAACCGGGTCATCGTTTCTTCGGGTATACGGGCCAAATAGTGTCGCTACAATCTTCTATGTAAAAAGCGATTAACATGACCCGGGGTAGCTCGAAGGTGGTATTTGCTTGCCAATTATTGACGTCATGTTTACAACCAATGACTTCCTTTGCTTGCATAACTGCATAGTCAAGAATTTGTACCGTTTTTGAGTATAGACTGTGAATAGCACTATATTGTTCACGTTTCTCATTCAAGTGCTATGTTGGTCTGGGAAAAAATATTGACTTTGACGTTCAGAGTGGATGCGCACATGCAACAAGCGAGCAACCATCTCTTCTCAAGCACAGGCCTCCATTTAGCAGTCGTGTGGCCGACATCAAGATATGGGGATCACGTGAAATCAACGCTCAAAGGCTGACACGGAACACCATAGGGGAGCAAAATAACAGTAACATTATTCATGTTGTAGATGGTAATTGATTGGCTGGCAAGTAAATACGTATGTACAAAGGATAAAATGTAGTCAGAAGAAAAGAAGCCGTAGGGGAGCAAGCCCCGGCATAGACCAAGCCACATCATACCCTGTCTAGAGTTCGTCGCACCGGGACTCCACAGAGCTTAGATACACATGGAGAACCATGGGTTGAATGCGACACACCTGCCGTAACGGCAAGTAGTGGGTCCAGTGTAACCCTTGCCACCGCAGCGTCCGAATAGCGAGACACTGTCACTGTTACCGTGGCCACTGCCGTAGCTGCCGTCGTAGTTTCCGCTGCTCCTGATGGATTGTTAACTATGCAAACGATATGAAGATTGCGGAGATGTCTTACTGAGCTGGGGTGGCAATGGCGGAGGTCTTGGTGATGAGAGTGGAAACGCTCAAGGTAGGAAAGGGCACTGTGACGTTGGCGACTGGGGTGCTGCTTGTTGTGGCAGTGGAAACAGTCAAGGTGGGGAGAGGCACTGTGGCGTTGTAGACTGGGGTGTTGCTTGCTGTGACAGTGGCAGTTGGTGCCTCAGCAGCATCACACTCTGGGAGTTTCTCAAGCTTGCCTTGGGGACCGTTGCAGCTTTGCTTAGTATTGAGCCTCTGGCTCTTGCCGTTACCTTTGTCAACGCCCTGGTAGTCTGCGCAAACCTCCTTGGTCTGTCCACAAGAGCCGCTGATGGTCGCACTGTCACCAAAGTTGGGATTGATTCCAATCAAGTCAGAGGTCAATCCAAAGGCCTTGACGTTCTCGACAATGACTTTGCGGGGAGACTTCTTGCTGTTGTTGGTGCAGTCACCGCATGAGCGGTAGAGTTTACCAGCATTGACAATGGTGTAGTCGCGGATTGTCACAGTTCCAGGGCCGCTACAATTATGTTAGCGGGGTTCCTATCTGCACTAGTAAAAGAGAACCTACTTGTGCTGAACAACCTTGTCAATAGCATTGGTTGCTCCACCACCGACAATAAGAGCGTCACCAGTGCCGAGGACGGAAATGGCATCTTCGCAGACGTCACGGAACCAGACGTTGGTCAGCGTGCAAGAGCCCAAGCAGTGGACACCCTCGAGCGCATCGGTGCCGATGATAACATTGGAGATGGAGGCGCCGTCTTGCAGAACGAAGACGGCATTCTGGCTGCCAGTGTCATCGTCCGTGTCACACTTGTGACCACGGTCAAACTCTTTGTTTCCGAAGTCAACGGAACCTGTGATGACGCTAGCTTCTGGCAGCGCAATGACTTCGCCGATACGAGTGGGAATGTCCAGAATATGCGCAGCTGCCATGTTGGCGACGAGCGAGAAAAGAGCGACTTGAGAGATCATGTTTAAAAAAAAAGGCAAGTTACCAATCAAAGCGATTTCGAGAAAAGGTGCGATGGATTAGAGGAATTGGATCGTGTTTCCAGATTAGGCACACGATTAGAAGTGAAAATGAAAACAGTGCAACACGATAACATAGGAAGGGGTGGGAAGCTTGCTGTCTTTAATGGATACATGCCTAGTTCTCTATGCATAAGCGCTCGGTTTGCGAACATATGTGGATACCAAGATAAGCGGGTGGTGGAGTATGCGAAATTACCGCAGATGGACTTGAGTGTCCAAGGCCAAGACTACGCCGCCGCAGGAGTGGGGGCACTTTTTCTGCATGGGCGGATCGTTCGAGAAAAACGTGCGATGGTTACTATTGTAGGATAAGTGGTTGGCAGCGGGTAGGACTAGGCCTTATGTGGTCGAGTGGCTTTCCCTGTCTACAACACATTTTGAAAGTCTACATAGTCACGGAATAATTAGTAAATGTCCTTGTGGTAGGAACTGTTTTTTCAAATATTCCAAAGAACACTCTTTGTGAACAGTAGGGCAAAGCCGTTCAAGTGACTGGGTTTTGCCATGACTGCAAACGGCAGGACAAAACATCCTGTCCGCCACAGATCAGTCCCAAATTTGTCGTTGGATCTCAAAGGATTCCTTGGCTTCAATTTGACATAGACTTGGCATCTCGGCCAAACTTTTAGGCCTCGTTTCCGAGTACGGGCGGAGAGCTACGAAAACCACGGTCCCCGGAAGGGTCACTACACCGAAAAATCTCTTACTGACTATTGCCAATTAATGAAGAGATGTCATTTCTTCCAAGATCACATCTCATTTAGCACGCTCCCGGACAGACAGCTGCAGGTCTAAGAATGCGGTCTCCTTATATGCGTACATACTTGCATGCCAATCCGCGTAATCGTCGATTAACGTTTGCCACGGTGCAAAGTGCTTACGCGCCGGGGAGTGAGACGTCACATCATGTTTGGAACTATTTCTGCAGGCTATGGCATGTCGAAGCCAACGGACGAACGAAGACGCCCCTAATGGGATGCCGACGAGGGAGTGATGTGCAATAAAATGTGTAGAATAGGTAATGTAGACCCCGGTGTGATTCTTGTCCTGTGCCGAATCCGTCATGAGAATCGTCTCGGCTTTCCCAGTAGGCCTCGAACTGGCGGTCGCGGGCGAGGGTGCGGACATGCGGCGGAGCACGCACAGACGCTCGAAGAGAAGAACATTTCAGCGGGTCGGAGTCTTGGCGCCTGGAATAATTTCCAGCAGTTTCAAGTCGACACCAGTGAACCGTCAAGGCAGACACAGACCTCGACGCCGCACCAACATGTCATCGATGCGAAATGCCGTTCAGCGGCGCAATCACAAAGAGCGCGCGCAGCCCCTCGAGCGCGAGAAATGGGGTCTGCTCGAAAAGCGCAAAGACTACAAGCTGCGCGCCGCCGACCACCGAGAGAAGAAGGCCAAGCTCAAGATCTTGAGCCAGAAGGCTCGCGACCGCAATCCCGATGAGTTCTCATTCAAGATGATGTCGTCCCAGGTGGACAAGAATGGTCGCAAAGTGGCAGACCGGGGCAACAAGGCCTTGAGCGTCGACGTGGTCAAGCTGCTGAAAACTCAGGACGCGGGCTACATCCGCACCATGCTCCAGGTCACCCGGAAAGAGCGCGAGGAACTAGAGAAGAAGCTGGTCATGGAGGAGCAGGGCGAGGTCCGGGCTATGAAGGACGGAGAAGAGGCAAAGCATGGCAAACATAGGGTCTTTGTGGAGAATGAGGAGGAGCAGGAAGAATTCGATCCGGATGCATGGTTTGGGCGTGGAGAAAAGATTCCAAGCCGAGTAGATTCACCAACATTTGGCGATCTCCAAGACGAATCGGAGGAGGACGAGGAGCAAACTATACAGCGGCCCAAGACACTGTCCAAGAAGCAGGCAGAGGCAGAGGAGCAGGCGCGGCGAGAAGCCAGGAAGTTCCGCAAAGACAGGGAGCGTGCGCTGGAAAGGACAGCCTCGAAACTGCAAGGGATCAAGAAACGAGAACGTGAATTGATGGCGGCAGAAGAGGAGCTGGAGCTGCAGCGCGCAAAAATGAATAACACAGTGGGAGGAGTCAACAAGAACGGCGTCAAGTTCAAGGTCCGCGAGCGCAAGCGTTGAAGACATTGCGATTATTTGGAAACAAGAAAAACAATCAAAATCAAAACTATAGTCTCGCCGGCATCCTCATTGCGCCGTCCAACCGCAGCACCGTTCCATTCAACATGTCATTCCCAATGCATTCCACCACCAATCTGGCAAACTCGTCCGGTTGTCCTGGCCTCTTTGGGAACTCCATGCTGTTCTCCAGACTCTTCCTGACCTTGTCGCTCATCATGCGCGTCATGGCGCTGTCAAACATGCTGGGCGCTATCGTCACGGCTCGGATACCGTACCTTGAGAGATCGCGGGCGAGGGGGAGGGTCAGAGATGCGACTGCTCCCTTGGAGGCTGCGTATGCAACCTGGCCCATTTGGCCGTCGAAGGCAGCGGAGGAGGCAATCATGATGATGACACCGCGGGCGCCGTCGGGGCCTGAAGAAGGCGCAGTGGTCATGTGTGGTAGTGTCTGACGGATCAGATCCAGCGTTCCTCGCAGGTTGATGTTTAGTACGAAATCAATGCTCTCAAGGCTCAACGGCTCATTCTTCTTGTCGATGATTAATCCTGGCATTCCCACACCTGCGCCAGCGACTACGCCTCCAATGTGCTTTCCTGTTTCCTTGACCCAAGCCACTGTCCCTTGTACTGCTGCGGCAATGGCCTGGGTATCCGAGACGTCGGTTTCGAAGAACTTTGCGCGAGAGCCGAGTTCAGAGGCAACTTTTGCACCGTTGTCGGCATTGAGATCGAGTAGTGAGACGTATGCGCCTTGTTGATGGAGTGCGCGTGCTGTTGCCAGGCCGAGGCCAGACACGCCGCCGCTTATGACGAATGTTCGGTCTGCGATCTTCATCTTGTGTTGTTTGACTGTTTTGCGAATGTGTACAGTGTATGACAGAGAAGTGTAGTGAGGCAAGGTAATGACTATCAAAGAGAATATGACATGCGTCGAACGTAGTGTTGCTTTGTGTATGTGGATGTACGTGAGAGGTCTCGTACCGCATGTGAACTGTTTCCCTAGCGGCACTACCGTGTGCCTCGGTTCATCAGTCTCCCCCCATCGGCGCTAAACGTGCCCAAAACACCGACACCAGCATGCTCCACTCCGTATCCGCAATTGCAATGCCTGCTCCGAATCATATCAATCTCGACTTTGGCATCACGGTATTGCGGAGTGACCACCATTCAAGTCCTGAAACTCTCAGCACCCAATTCCCCCCACGACGGCTGCTGCAGCACATACCATATTGACCACACACTCGAATACGATACACGCATATCCCCCCCACCACGCTCGCTTTCCACCTACCACCATCATCAAGGTGACACTGCAATCTAGAAATACATAGAGAGCGACAAGTCACTCCACCCAGCGCCCCCTCCGCGCACCCCTCCCCTCCCACCACCAGACGCAAAAATGACGGACCGCATGATAATCGGCAACAACCCGCTGCCCAGCAACCCGACGCCGCTGTCCGCCCCGCAAGAACAACAAGTGCGCGACCTGTACTACAAAAACGTGCGAGCCAAATGCGCCCCCGAAATCGAAACATTTGCCTCGTGCGCCCTCGGCCGCACTTTCACCATGATCTATGCGTGTCGCGATGCGCGCCTCGCTATGAATAGTTGTATGCTGCAGTATCAGAATCAGGATGAGCTGGATAAGGCGCGGCAGGAGTGGTTTGCGCTTGCTGGGGAAAGGAAAAAGGTAATTAATATTTTCTTTCCTCATATTTACATGTATAGATTGTCCTCCACATTCTTTTCCATGCTCACGTGTGGAAACTTGGGGGGGGAGAGAATTAGAGGGTTCGGGATATTTTGTGCTGACGATTACCAGGCGAGAGAAGAACATCAGAGGAAGCTTGAGGAGGCGCGGTCGAAGCATAAGGAGTGGTGGAATTTGGATGAGCAGGGGAGGACGGTGGGGAAGAGGGCGGAGCAGGTGAATGAGGCTGGCCTCGCGAGACGTGAGGAGAATCGTGTGGATGATCGGGGTGTTACGAGGGGTGGGATATATAGAGGGACGTGAAAGGGTTTTGGATATGGAGTGGAAGGGGAAAGAAGAAGAAAAACTCACATTACCCTTTTTCCTTGTACAGGAACAGGACAAAACCCACTTTGTATGATATTGTAACATCATCTTGGAAATTATCCATATATTTCTTCTTTTTTTTTCTTGCAAAATAATGATCCCATGTAGAAACCATGCAGGACTGAGCCATTTCAAGCTCTGGTATATGTAATGTAGAAAGACCAGGTCCGTACCTCTCTCTCACACTCAACGCCATGAAATGCTAAAAGATCCACTGAACGCCTTCTTTTCACTCTTCCCACGATCAACCCCCACCACCAATCTTTCCACCTCGAACAACAATTAGCTCAGGAAAATCACCCGTTGTTCTCCTGGTTGATCCCCATGGCCTCCTCAAACTCATCATCATCCTGCTCCTCATCCTCCATACCACCCATAGTCGTATCTCCCGCTTCACCCCCAGCGTTTCCATTAACACCGCCCACAGGACCCCCGAAGCCTGCTCCACTAGCACCCACATCATCATCCATATCGACATCCTCGTTGGTCTCCTCAAGCTCCTCTTCCCACGCGCCCTTGACATCCCACCCCACGCCCGTAAAGCAGTACCGCTCGGGCGGCAGGCGAATCCCAAACTCGCGGTCTACACGGGGCAACGCAATGCGATTCCGCTCGAGCGCCACCTCGCTCATGAATTCCTTGCCCAGCGTGCCTTGGAAGGTGCCTGCAGCCCGCGCTCCAACTGCCGTGCGCAGCGCATTCAGCGACACGCCGTCTTCGCCCGACTCGGCGTTGGGGCCGCTGCGTTTCTTCGACGCTGATGTCGTGGGTAGAGGTGGCTCGTATGATAACGCGTCGGAGAGGATGGATGAGGTGTATCGATAGGCAAAGTCGAGGAGCTGTAGCGGTACGCGCTCCGTGTAGGCATGTACGCCCATGTTGGCTAAAATCAGATGGATGAGGCGTGCGTCGCGGGGTCGCTTGCTGGTTCCATTATCCTGGAGCGAGCTGGATGGAAAGGCGGCATTCATGCTGGCCGCTGGGTTTGCTGACGCGCCATTGGATGCTTGCGACGGTTGCGATGCAGGTGGTGGCTGTGTGGGTGGGCTGAGTGTGGGTGCGTTTGCGGTAGCTGGTGGGGTAGAAATGCCATTAGGCACATTTTCTGCGGCTGGCGAAGCCATAGTACCCGTGATGTAAGGGGGAGACGGGGAGCTGGGTTGGGTTGTCGGTTGGTCGTCTGAGGTCAAGGTGAAGTTGCCCAAGTCGCGCCGTGCTTGGCATGCAGCATGCAGAATCCGGGGAAGAACGACACGCCAGTGAAACACACGAATGAACAAACGAATGAACAACGAAGTCATCTCATAATCTTACAAAGCGATACGAATTTCATTTCTTTTTTCAAAACCATCAGCGTTTTGCTAAACTTATATATCAAGCAAGTAATACAAGCTATGCCTTGATATTCTCCTGAGCCATATCCTCCTCGTCACCAGTAGCCTCACTAGCAATGCTCTCATGCAAGCTTGGGGTCTTGTCCTTCTTGCCAATACGCTTAATAGAGCCCCACATACTCGCCTTGTCTTTTGAAGTACCAATGCTTGGGCTATTTCCTACGCTGTCTGCGCTTTTACCCAACCCAAAGAAGCCGCTAGAGCCTTCCTCTTCGACTTCATCTGGAGTTCCGGGAACATCACCAGCCTTGCTCTTAGAAAAGAGGCCGCTCTTCTTTCCAAAGGTAAGAAATTGGTTAGTGCTGCCTTTGCGCGTCAGTTTCTGCATAAACGACTCTTTGCCTATGGAGCCTGCAGCGTCCGATGCAGCGTAAGAAATGCTATGTTCCAGTGACTCGCGTGGAGACGACTCTGATGCATCGGCGGTGGAGATGGATGGTGTGTCTCGGGACATGCGAGAATCAAGGTAGGGTGAGGTTGCTTCTCGCGAGTCGCCAGCTTCGGACGGCGTATGTTTGTCTTTGCGTGATGCCTTTTCTGCCTTGTCCGCCTTGGCCTTCTTCTCCTTTTCTTCCTTCTTTTCTGCTTTTTCTGCCTTCTTGGCCTCCTTCTCAGCGGCCTTTTCTGCAGCACGCTTAGCTTTCTCGGCTCTATCTTCCTCCGTCTTCTTGCCCAACTGGAACATGGTGAAACTAGCAGCCGCTGGGTTCAGCTGTTTGGGTGGAGTTGGCGGAATAGGTGGCAGGGACGAGGCCGACATCTGACCGGGCATGTGCGACGCAGACGACTGCGGTCGGGTGCCAATTGGTGCTTGGGTAGGTGACCGGGTATTTGAAGGAAAGTCGAGGACATCGTCGTGCATGACGTCCTCATTGATCAAGCTGGCGTTGGCTGTGTGTTGGATTGATGGCCGCCTAGACCCCAATCGGGACCACGAAGCAGTATTGGTGTTGTTGACACTCCAGTCGACTCCGAGAGGGCTAGACCTGGCACCGAACGCGTCCACATTCCAACCAAAGCGCGTCTGACTCTCTGTCGAGGGCCGTGGCAGTGCCGTGCCTTCTCCAGAATTCGTGGACCCCTGGCGAGGTGATTCTGGCCGCTGTTGCATTCCCAGCATGGAGCGGAGCCATGGATCGTCTCCTTTGGCACTACCAAACATATTAAATGGGCGCTTGCGAGTAGCTACATGCTTGGGACTGCTCGAAGACTCTATGGGTTGCGTCTTGGTGCGTATGAATGCATCGTACCACGAACCTTCTGTGAGACTACCACGGCGGCGTGGAGCGCCGAGGCCATCCAGACCATGCTCCTGACGTGGCAGAGATTGACTCTGGGATGGTTTGAGGGATCCCAAAGCCGGGCCGTCGTCCGAGAATGTCTTGCCGCGTACTCGATTGAGGCCAAAGAGTCCGCCGAATCGACTGGCCTGAGGGTTAGTTTGGAACGAGCTCGAGGTTGAGTGGATAGATCGTCTGTCGCTATCCATGTTGTTGTCGTTGCTCGACTGCATCTGCAGATCGCCGGCACTATCTCTGGGACTTGCAAATCCAGTGGGGGATTGAGTCCGTGGTGAGGCTGGCAAGCTCGAGTTTTGTGTGTGGTGCATTGTGCCAGGCGCGCCCAAGCCGGGTAGAACGTTTGTCATGTTTGGGGAAGGGTTGAGAGAAGGTGCTTGTGGTGGGCCCGGGTCATCATCGTCTTCGTCTTCTGTCAAACCCAAGTCGTCTCCAAACAGACCAGCTGGAAGCAAAGAACCAGCCGTGGGACTCATTGGGGCTCCTCCAGTCAGGCTCTCCATATCGGTTTGCGAGAAGGATGTGCTATATGTACGCGGAGGCAGTGCCATGCCGTTTACTGGGTTGAAGTAGGGAGTTGGATTTGCGAATGACGGGGAGGCGGTGGTTGGGATGCTGTTGAAAGGGGCCGAAGAAGTGTGCACAAAGCCTCCGGTGGCAGCAGAAAGTAGGCCTTCGCGCATGCTAAGTGGTCGTGCTCGCTGGCTGTTCCTCCTCACTGGTACTGGTCCTGGTCCCATATCCGGAACAGGTGGTCCTGAGAAGAGCTGGGGTTGACTTAAACGACGTTGCTGCATGTACCCGAGTCTGTTGATCGCATCTTGGTGAGCTCTCTCTGCTTCTGCATATAGGGCCCAGGCCTGGGCATACTGCTGTTGCAGCAAGCCAAGAGTCATTTTCCATCGATTGTCCTCTTCCTTTTCTGCATGATCGGGCCCGTCTGTCGCTTCTGCACCCTCCTGACCAGCCTCGAGCTTCTTTCTCTCCTCCTCGAGCGCCTTGATGTGGATTCCTTTTTCGCGAATGGCGTCCTCCAAGACCTTGTTGGCTTGGGTCTCCTCAGCGTATTTGTCCTTGAGTTCCTGGATGCGCTTTTCTGACTCCGCTTCGTACTCGGCCTGCTCCTGTTTGATTTTCTCTGCAGTTTCACGAAACTCAACCGCTTCGCGAGTCCATTTGGCTACATCGTCCTTAAGCTTCTTCCTCTCTGCTTCTTTTTGGCGGAAAATCTTTTCTTGATGAGCGCGCTTGCCTTGGGCTGTCGCGTTCTGGCGCTCGAGATTGGCCACTTCCTTGCGCAAATCGCGACTGGCATCCTCTTTTTCCTTAAGCGCAGCCTTTTTCTCGTCGCGCTTGTCGGCGAGAATGGCTTTTTGAGTGACAAATTCCTGGTCCTCGTCCTGCATCTGACGCTCCACGTCATCGAGTTCGCGTCGGAGGGCGTCGAGCTTTTCGGTCAATTGGCGGATAGAATCCGAACCTTCTGATTCTTGGGCATTGCGAGGCTGATCTTGCGACGCAGGTGAGGCCCTCCTGCCGACATCTGGGCGGCGCAAGCGAGAGGTGCTGTTGCTGTGTTCGCGGGTCATGGGAGGGGCAGCGACGGCGGTGACGACGTCTGCGAGGGTCTTGTTGGGGCGGATAATCGGGGTCGGAGTGTAGTCATTGTCATCGGAAGGGGGTACGGCATCCTTGGGCGGGTGGGGCGCGTAGTAGTCGTCCGAGTCGGCGGGGAGGGTACGGAAGCGGATGGGGACACTGGGGGCCTGGAAGCTGGACGAGTTGAGGGTGACGATGCGGATGGTGTAGTGGCAATCGGGCACGAGATTTTCGATAGTAATGGAGGATTCCTGGGGTGAGATATCGCCGACTGGGGAGGGCGTGGGTTAGAAGGGTGGGTTACGAGTGGGGCAAAGGGCAACGACGTACTGTCTATGCCGTTGATACGAATGACATATTTGAGGACCGAGGGCCGCTGGTCGGGGGGCTTCCAGTGCAGCAGGGCACCATCAGCCTTGATGCCAGCGAGGGAGACGATGGGGGCGACGGGGACTTCGAGTCCGAGGACGTGGATCAGCTTGTCGACGGGCTGGGTGAGGACTTGGTATGCGCGGAAGGCAACCCTGGGCGCGAGGTCAACACGAGCGCGTCGGAGAGGGAGTGGCCAAGTGGGTGACGAGGCACTTGTTTATTCAGTCATTGATTGATTGCATGCATACCAGAACAGGGCCAAGACGACGCAGGTGGTTCGGAGCCATCCAGACGACGAGAACAAGAGGGCTTCCATGTTGTAGTGGGCGACGTCAGGCGGCCAGTGCAGGGCGGCCGCAGGGTCGGAGAACATGATGGCGTGGGCGGGGACGGCGGCGGGGGGGATGTTGCTTGTCGGGACCCAGAGTCGCCGCCTGGGGAAGAGAAAAACGAGCGATGATGGGGGTGGTTTGTCTGTCTGGGATGGGAGAGTGAACTGGCATAATAGTATGGAATATGGCCGAGTGCGGCCGGGGCGACAAGCATTTGGTGCTCGTCTTGGCGTGTCGACAAGCCGCCGCTGCCCTGCAGCCCGGTGGTGCGAGTGTTTGGCTGTGCACGTGAGTAGTGTACTATGCAGTACTACTACTACAAGACATTGACGTGCTAGGTATGTGTATATCTACAGCACGTAGTAGTATATCACGGGACTTTTTTTTTCTCATAGCACCCCTTAGAATACAAGATGCCAAGCCAGGGCTATTCGCTCTGATAGTGCACGTGGTCGCCCAGTGACGGCTCCCAGCACCCACGCACCCACGCACCCTAAGCTTCTCCATGCTCCAATCCCATCCCATCTCATCCCATCCAAGGCCCATGTCCTCGTGGGTGCATGTGCACCATGACAGCCATTACGACATCTGGCCATGCAAGATGCAACATGTCCATGGGCACGCCATGGCCTTTGCCATTGCCATTGCCCACCTGATGGCCGTGGGGCCGGTGCTGACGTCGCAAAGCCGCCGACTGCCCGTGACATGACGGTATACGGCCATATCGACTCGCACGAGCGCACTGTCTGCCCGCTCCCCAATCTATCGCTCCACGCTCGGTCGGCCTCCCTTCCAAGTCGCTGCTGTCTGCCTCTGCTGCGGCTCCATCGCCCTGCTCGTCCATGCGCCAGTCGTGTGGCATGTGAAAGCACGCGGCCTCGGGTCATTTGCATCATTCCACCTCCTCTGTAAAACCCATCTGACGTACATTCCCTGACACTTGCTGCCTCCCACGCCCACCACTACCCCCCTCCCGGCGCAAACAGGGCCCTGCTGCACCCTCTCCCCCTCACACAACCCTCGCACCCCTACCCCCATCCACCATGAACTACGTCCGGTCCATCACCGGCAGCGTCTCAAAGGGCTGGAACTCGATCAATCCCGCTACCCTCAGCGGCGCCATCGACACCATCGTCGTCGAGCACGAAGATGGCACCCTCGCATGTTCGCCCTTCCACGTTCGCTTCGGCAAGTACCAGATCTTGCGCCCTTCAGACAAGAAGGTCGAGTTCCGCGTCAATGGCGAGCTGCAGGACTACTCGATGAAGCTCGGCGAGGGCGGCGAGGCCTTTTTTGTCTTTGAGACTTCGCGCAGTATCCCCGCAGAGATGCAGACGTCGCCCATTGCCTCGCCCGCCGCCAGCCCCGACCAGAAGCCCATCGAGCCGTCCTCGGACCGCCCCTTTGACGAGCCTGAACCCCTTGATCTCGACGAGACGGCCATCGCACGGAGAAGAGGGCGCATGTCCATGTCGGTGCCCCCTGCCGACTACCTGCACGCAGACACCGACTACGCTCGCCCAAAGTCGGGAGACTGGTCTGGCTTCCAGATGCACAGGGCTAGCACAGACGTGACGGTGCCTTCGGTCAAGGACAGTTTTAGCAAAGCCTTTGACGAATCCCAACCACACGAGAGGGGGCCGCTGCAGATTAGCAAGGAAGACGCGACTGCATGGAATAGATCTACGCGCTCAACAAGCCCCCCGCCAGTGTCGCCCAGCGAAGCCCTTGCCCGCGCCATCAAGCTGTCCAAGAAGCTCTTCACTTCAAACATTCCCAACAAGGTCACCGAGACTGGCGATTTGGAGCTTGACATGACGGGCTACAAGAGCAGCGAAGAGGACGCATTGCGTGCAGAGGTCATAGCCAGGCGCATCCTCTCCGACGAGCTTGCAGGCGACTATGACATTGGTGCCCTCATTGGCGCCGACGAAAACGGAAACCTGTGGATCTACAGCAGTGAGGAGGCTAAAGCTGCCGCCATGGCAAAGACATCCGTCAACGTCTTGAACGAGAGTGCCCTCCGCTCAAGTGATGCCCTGTCCGACCCTGGCTACCAGAGCGACAGCGGTCGCAGTGATGACACGGCCCAGTTTCCCCAGATTCGCAGGGATTCGGATAGCGCCCTCGGCATGTCTGCGCCACACTCGCCCGAGTCGCGCAAGAATGAGACCAAGACATATGCGAAGACGCTGCGCCTGACCAGTGACCAACTCAAAGCCCTCAATTTGAAGCCGGGTGCAAACACCATGAGCTTCACAGTGAATAGATCAAAGTGTGAGGCTTACATGTTTTACTGGAAGCACGATGTGCCCATCGTCATCTCCGACATTGACGGAACGATTACAAAGTCGGATGCTCTTGGCCATGTGCTCAACATGATTGGCCGTGACTGGACTCACCAGGGAGTTGCCAAACTCTACACAGACATTGTAAACAATGGCTACAACATCTTCTACCTGACGAGTCGCTCCGTCGGACAAGCCGATACAACAAGAGCCTACCTCAATGGCGTCGTGCAAGACAATTATCGTCTGCCAAAGGGCCCTGTCATCATGAGTCCAGATCGCACAATCGCTGCACTGCGCAGAGAAATCTATTTGCGAAAACCAGAAGTCTTCAAAATGGCCTGCCTCCGAGACATTATGCAATTGTTCAACAAACCCCCAGGCCAAACCCCCTTCTATGCGGGATTCGGCAACCGATTTACCGATGCTCTGTCCTATCGTTCCGTCAACATCCCATCCACACGCATCTTCACCATCAACTCCAATGCCGAAGTCAGTCTCGATGTCTTATCGCTAAATTCTTACAAGACTGGGTATGCCAGTATGCGAGAGATTGTCGATCACTTCTTTCCCCCAGTCGGACTGCTTGTTCCAGCGGGAGGCGAAGCCTACACCGACTTCAACTACTGGCGCGATCCACCTCTCGACATTGCCGATTTCACCGACAGCGAAGACGAAGACGATGATGTTGACACGGAAGCGGCTAGCATCCGCAGCGAAGATGAAAGGTCGGACATTGGCGAGGATCTCGAAGGGAGCTACATGTCACGGGACTCGCTCGACGAAACAGGCATGGGTGACTCAATCATGGAGAGTGTTGAAGGTGGAGACTATGCCGAAGGAGAGGAGTATCTGGAGGACGGCCATTACACCGACGATGACGAAGGCACCACTCTGACACACGGAGCGGGTGGTGATGAAGGAGATGTTGTAGATGAGGTGGCATCGTTGCAGGTCAGGGACTCGACACCTACTCCACGAGCCTTTTCGTAAAGGCAAAGTTTATTTTCTGTCTTGTTTGCATAGCATGGCATCGTTTTGGCGTTGGGAATGGAGACCACTATAACTCACCATCGAGTGATGAATGCCTCATAGCATGTTTGTTAGTTTCAACACTGTCTATAATTTTAATTCTGAGCATCATGATGACTGGCCCAACAACGCGTATGCTTACTTGTCTTTCAAAAAGAAAAACCATGACATTTAACTCAGCAGTACGTGAGTAAGAGGGTAGAAGATCAATTTTTTTTGGAAATGTTGAAATTCAGCTTCTTAAATGTGGGTTATATTCGACGCAACAAGATTCAACCGACTCTAGTGCCCTCTTCCTCTAGTTCAAACTCTTCTTCAATTGTGGGCAACACCTCATATCTACCCGTCTTGCCCATTCTCTTAAAGCACCTATCCGTATGCAGCAAATGGCCTCGCTTGCGCCGTACGAAACCCGCAAAACACGCCGCACTCGATACAATGGCGCCAGCGCTGATGAAGACGGGAATTTTGAATTGCTGCGGCCGGTAAAAAACCATTGTCGTGGCAAAGGAAACCAGCTCGAACAGATTTTGTAGCGACATTTCGACGGCGGAGAAGGACCCCCGTGTGGCTTCTGGCGCATCTTCTTGCACCAGATACTGCACACTGAGATCGAATCCCCACAACCCCAGGCGGGAGAATGCCACGCCGAGGACCAGGACTCCACCAGCGAGCATGGGCTTGTTGTCTAACCAGAGAAACAGGCCAACGGCCAGCGCGATCGAAATCAGTTGCTCGTTGATGAACCACAGGCCGGCGCGCACAGCGCTGATGCGGCGCATCAGCCAGGGGGCGACGACCGTGGCGCACAGCTCCAACATGACGGAGCCAAGGCGCATGAGCGAAACGTGGGTACTGGTAAATCCGAGTGATAGTAGGTATGTGGTCATTTGCGACGCGAAGCTCAGGACGGTCAGGTAGAGGAGGGAGAGCGAAAAGGACGCCAAAAAGGCCGGGTTTTGGATATAATTCTTCCACGGCCGCAGGTGGGATGCCACCATGGTTTTAATAACGGGCTGCGTCTGAAGATGCGGGGCTGACCCGGAAGTATTATTGCCATGCTGATGGGATGACTGTCGCATTGGCGTGTCTGCTGTTTCAGAATCACCCTCATGGTTCGGCGGCGGCGGCGACGGCGCTTTTCCGAGCGCGAGGCCTGGCACCGCTGCGTAGACGGAGGCAATGGCAAAATACTCCACCACGACACTGATGGCGTTTTGCAAAAATACAATCCAAATGGCCAGTCTGGTCGAGAAGTAGCCTTCAACAAGTCCAATGCCGACGGGCGCAATGAGCTTGCACACGAGATCAATCCGTCGCATCGTGCTGTTCAGGTCCTGCCGGTCGATGCTCAGGCTCTCAGACACCACAATGATCCAGTCCCGCTCCACGGAAATAGTGTTTGCAATGAAAGCCAGCTTCTCGACACACGCTAGCATGACACTCCCGACAAACAAGGCATATGTCATAAATCCCTTCTCTTTCCCATGGCCGCCAGCAACCATCAAGACCAGGATGAGGCATGACGCGGCGACTGACAGTCTCTGCCAGACGATGCTGTGTCTTACGACATCGAGTCGATTTCTGCAGTCGACCTGATGTCCTATCCAGGACCCGAGGACCGCGGCAGCTCCAGCCCGGAAAAGCGCATAGCAGGACGCGAAGAAGAGGGTTCCGGGGAAAATGGCGGCGAGGAAAATCACCGCGCCAAACTCAAACGTGCGTGCGTTCCATGTCGAGAGTGTATGTGAGACGTAGAGGCGCCACAGCAGCCGTTGCGCATTACCATCTTGACATCCTGTGTCGCTGGGGGCGGCTTCTGGCGCGGGGTAGGCTCTGTGTGGCGAAGACGATGGCGATGGCGACGGGCTCTTCATCATGTTAGATGTGCAGTTGCCGTTACACGAACGACCCGGTGATTGTGTATCACGGTAGGACAAGGACCGGTCACATTCTTTCCCTTTAGTCTACGGCCAGCAAAGAAGAAAGATACGCGAGGGAGAAGGAAAGAAAAAAGACCACGCGTGATGGTCATGAGACGGGGGTGTAGGTGGCTGGCTGGAAATACGGACGCCTGGGCTTTCCGAAGTCGCCCCCTCTCTCTCTCCCGTCTCTCCGTCTCTCTTTCTCTTCGCGGATTAATTAATTCAGCCAGGCGAAATTTTTCCCCACGTTGAATCCACTTGGACCCTTGCAATACTTTGGGGATCTACTTGCGGCTACCGCTCCCGTTTCACATGATCAAAAAGGGTCCATTTTACTATTCCTTTTTCGGCAATTCCCAGTACGACCACGTGCGGCACGCGCAGGTACCCAGTCCCGTTTTTTTTTCTCTCTCTCCCCCCCTTGTCGAATCCTCCGATAACGCAAGTCGATTCATGAAATTTCTCCGCACAAAGATCTACCTGTAGCGGACGCTTATCTTGACGTGGGTAACGGTTTTTGAAACGGCCGGTAAACTAGTTGCTCGCTATCGAAGTAAATTGATTTGCTCCCCCCTTTAGCGACAATGATTTTATACTCTCCACCCGTCAAGCCCCCAATGTCTGTGCGTTTTTGTGCAATGTACTTAAAGTGCGTTTGGAACAGAATTCAAAAGGCCTTATTTCCCCGGACCGTGGGACTGTGAAATTTATTAGAATTCTCCAGTGTACCTATTGACTTTGATCAATCTTCGGATCGCCTACCACGAAAGCGCTCGCACACCCATACGACCACGCACCGATTTCATGAATTTGACCAAACCAATCATATTACTCCAACGACATTCGAGATTCAATTGAGAACTGGCTATGGATTTGGATCATCTAAATCAAAGCCGCTCGTTCTGCTGGCCTCGTCTAGAAAAAAAGGTACCGTATACTCCCCAGGAGCAGATTATCAGGTCACGTGATCAAACATGGTTTCGCTCGTTCCTGTCACACATGTCGTGTAGTATACTCGAATAATCAACGTCAAAATTACCAAAGAGTCCATAGTTTAATGCGCAAATCACATAACATGAGTCTTACACGGGCGCTCTGGTTAGACCCTATTTATCTCACTGAGCACCGAAAACATCATTCCCTCTGGGGAAGACCATACTACAAGCCCTACCCATATACCTCTGCATCTGTGCTGCCTCAAGTATCCTCGTGTACGCCTGGCCCGAATTTTGTAAAAACACATCTCTTCCGTCCATCACCTTCTGCACTCAACACTGCATTGTGTAGTCCATGTAGACAGTGGATCAGCGTTGTGCGCCCCAAGCCGCGCATGGCATACTGCAAAAACATAGCGAAGATGGGCTCGCAAGCTATATTCAAGCTGTTGAAGCATCGAGTGAGGAAATGGATTCCGCAGCTCATTTCCTGTCAGCCCTCCTGGCCCAGCGTAGTCGTTGGCAAGCTCCCCTTCGGGCTCTGTCTGTTTGAGACGATCAGATAGACGAGCCAAAAGGTGCTGGATGCGATGGAGCCCACTGAGGACCATGCGAGCTGCCATCATATCGGCTTTGGTATCTTCATCTTCTACATCTAGTGCGCTTCGCTGATAGTCGTTCGTGGTGTATAGGTCGCCGGCTCGCTGTGCATTCTTGAGACACTCACGGCGCATTGCTTCGAGATAGGAAGACATGACTTTCGAGGTGCACAGTCCGACAACGAATAGCACATAGATATCTTGGCTACACTCGCACTCGAGAATGCTATTCATCGCTTCCGACATACTCTCATTGCATGCCATGATATTGTTCAATGATTCGCCTTGCAGCTGGTTGCGTTCGTATCTGCTGCCAAAAGAAAAGAATAATTCTGGGAGTAGTCGAGAGATGACGGCAGTACAGTTTTTGTTGCATATCGGCTTGGCTGGGGATATATCGTCAGGCTCGTAGCCAGTCGAGTGGGCGTCTCCCGCAGTGCTTGGCCATGCCAACGGCAATGCAAGAAACTCAGGGGCTAGGTCGACAGGAATTGAACTTCTACCTGAACTGTCCAAATGAAGAAATTCATCGTTCAAGGTTGTCAAGTCCTGCGACATGTGTAGGGCAAAGTCGGCGTCATCTCCGCACATGAGCGGAACCGGTTGCATGCAGAGTGCTTCGAACATCTTGTTGGAACACCACTCTGTCGACCCGGAACTATCGGGAAAAGAATCCACGGGCGAGAAGTTTTCCGAAGTTGCTTGGCTATCATTGGGGCCCATTTGACTAAAGGTGGTGTTTGGTGTGGCGTCGGATCTGGGAGGAGATAGCTGCAAGTCATTATTTTCGATGTCGATTTCCCAAGTGTATGAGCTTGATAAGTCGCTTAGGGCATTCGTGGCAGCTCGGCGCGCTTGTTTGGCCTGCCCGACCGATGTGAGCTTTCTTCCAGCGCGTCTGGATTGTTGGTAGACACAAGGCGTGCCTCGGCGAGCACAACGCGCGCACGTTGGCTTGTTTTTACTGCATCGGACCTTTGAGTCTGCGCAATTTTGACAAGACTCTCTGAATGCTTGTTGTTGCTGTTGTGGTTGCGAAATGGGCGAACGCTGAGAGTCAACAATGTCTCCAATCATGGTTAATAAAGCTGGAAGAAGTGTCAATGATCAATGCTAGGTCATACATCTCGTAGTAATCATCATTGTTTCAAAGCATACCTGCCATCGAACAGTGCCATTGTTACAGGTTACAGATAGAACGCAAAATCAGTACGTACATGAACTCGGCCCCTCTAAAGAAACTTGAGGGGTCCATGTGACTTTCAATTCTCTATGTAGAGTCTACACAAACAGGTATATATCCATGTGGTAAATGTCCCTGACTAGTTTGATCCCAACAATTTAGAGTCCAGCTCTACCTTGCGTGCACATGACCCTGCAGGTAAGACGGTGGTTTGTGCCGGAGCGCGCCTTGAACACCGATACGTACGCCCCCTTTGCCCCACCAGAACCACTCCAAAGTGAGGTCGCATTGCTGCATCAAATAGGTGTAGTCGTGAGAG